AAGGTCATTTCCAGAGGGACAGTAAGATGCATTATGCACTGGCTCTTCATTTGGCCTCCTGCTCAGCGCTGCTGTGTTACCTACTTGCTCTCTATTTCAGGCTGTACCTGAGCATTAGACCCTGTATTATGTTATGTCATCATTAGTGAAGCTGAACTTCTGTCCTTTTCCCAGTATTTATGTAAAGAACTATTCTTTACGTGATGCATAGTCTTCATCTGGTGAGCCATGAAACACCAGCAGTGTGCAACTCAGCATTTCCTGGAATTATGAAGATGTATTCTGAAGGACGTGTGTCTCCAAGCTGTATATTTAGCTCGGTGTGTTCACCGCCTGCCTAATTATTTTGCCTGGTTTAAAGCACACGTATTTCTGACCATTGCTTTCTTGTAAGAGTCCTCACCCTGCCTCTGTCATTTTTCAGTTCAGAAGGAAGATGCCTTTTACGTGGACCATCTCATGTCTAATGGGATAAGATGCATTCTGACTTCTTCACATAGAAATTATCAGTGGAAGGCTTTGTTTACCATATAACGTTGCTTTCAGGTATTTATCAATGTTTATCTCCCTTTAGATAGTCTAATACAAGTTCCTTAAAGGTGAAAATAACAGTTCTGGCATCTCAGAGAAACATTCAGGCTCTGCACAGACAGGGAGAGGGGCTGGTGTGTGGGAGTGTTCTTGCAAGAACCTGTCCTTGCCTTTATTTTGTGGCCTGTAGCTAACGTAATGCTAAACAGCAGTCAGAGACAGTCAAGTCTGATGATTGTCTCCTCTTTGTGTTCCTGGTAAGGGCCATAAAAACATAGCTGGGACATCAGATAACTCAAAACCTGTGAGGCAAAATTTCCTCAAAGAGTGTGGGTGGAGGAGGAGTGGAAAGCTTTCTGTTTTGAAAACATCTCAGAAAAATCTTGGAAGGAGATCATACATCCCATTTGTGTCTTCCTCTCCAAAGAGGAAGACTTTAATCTGCATAAATTAAAACATAAATTGGATAAATAAGCTCCTTATTTGTATTACTCCCTTTCCTGAATGTTCCTTATTTGCAGCCCTCATGATACCCATTGGAAGACTGAGCAGATGGATGTTCTTGTCTCCAGGCTTTGCTGAAGGTCATGGTGAGCAGGGATTAATCTTCCTCCATACTTCCCCAAGCTGCATGTCACTTGCCATTTTTTGGCTCAGGTTGTGTGTTGTCCACAGCTTGTTAAAGTCTATAGTTGTAGTGCAGAGGTAACTGAGGAGAAAGCGGAACCGTTGCATTTCACATCAAACAAGGTCTGGTGTTTCAAGAACGGGAGCAGGAACTGGACATGAGTTCAGGGAGAATGCGACAGGAAAGAAACCAGAACAGTAAAATCCCTTTTCCTTTCAGTGCCTTGTTTTTCTCGCGTGTATAGTGTATGTACCTGGCTTTGAAGGTAACACCAAATCATCTGTAACTTAATTGTGCAGTGGAATTCTTCTTTTCATTACAGGGATGCAGATTTTTCCCCTGTAGTTTCAGGTATGACTCAAGTTTCTCGGTGTATTATCAGTGTAAAGGACATCGAGAACTGTTGCATCATGCTGCGGTAAAAGTGTACGTTGTCCAAGGGTTATAGCACAGAACTAAGACTCTCGGCTCCTGGACTCAATTTCCTGTTTTGATATCAACTTTGGCGTGTCACAGCTGGGGGCTGCTATTCTGAGAGCTGCTGAGCACTTGTGATTCCTGTTGAAGTCTGAGAGCTGCAGGTTATGGGCAATTCTGAAACTGCAAACTCAGTTGTGTCAAGTTAGATTTTTCCACAACAGCCACTTGAAATGAACGGTCATTAAAAATTCAGCCTGAAGCTTCTTACGTCTCTTTCCCAGTCTCCTCAACATGTTTAGTGACCATTGTCCTCTCCACAGACATAATTGTTAGGTAATTATTATTGAACTTTGAGATTCTGTACAAAATCATGCCATTTCTTACGCGTGAAAAATATCCAAGCCGTAGCTATTTGGACATTCAGATAAAGAAATGTAAAAACAATTCTAGAACTAAAAAGTGTTGCAGAAGGGCAAATCTAGGCTAAGACAACCCAAAGGTTTGCCAGCAGCGAGGTACAGCCAGTGCTTAAGGTGTTAGCCTGACAAATAGGTCAGAGTCAGCTCCCTCCGCAACGGACTTCTGCGTGATCTTAAGCAAACAACAGGATTGTTCTTTTCCCACCTGTAAAATGTAGGTAAAAAAACCTGGCAAGTGTGTTGCAAGCATAAATATGAGAAAGTTTGCAAAGTTCCCGGAATTCGGGAGTATAGGAACATCCTTGAGTCAAGATTGTTATAGGAAACGGATTTGGCTACATAGTAGCCCTCTGTGTCACACGGTGTTTTCGGTCCAAACTACTTTTCCTCTCGTTTTGAGAGCTCCAACTTTATTGCAGAGCGTTGGAATATACAAATCTGGGGGGTTTGGGGTGTTGAAGCAGTTTCCACAGTGATATTTTCTCTTTTAACCTAGCAACATCATGCTAATTTTTAGGCAGTTAAAGTCGGGAAATAAGATGACAAAGCCTTTGTGAAGAGCTATACTACTTGGTTTTATTCTTGATTATACTCTCATCTCACGTAGTTCAACGTTTCACGCTTGAACACCCAAATTTTCAAATTAGAGAAATTTCAAGTAGCATTTTGAGGAATATCTGGGGCACTTTGGAGCCTCGGTTCATGGACATCCTTTTCACAGTAACTAGGATAGTTTTGAAGCTGTTAGACTTTGTGGACAGCCTGCTGCTCACCTCAGCCCCCCCCCCTCCCCTCCCAGTTCACAGAGCCATGGAAAAGCAATCGGAGGAGAGTGCGTGTGGCTCGGTCTGGTGTCCTCTGCCGTTCCTGACCGCTGCTCGGCGGGACCGTACGTTACCTGCTGACGTACTCGCTGTTATTAAAAGGACTTGCTGACTTGTGGTGCTGGCACTGCCAAGGTGACAGAAATAATAGAGCCCTTGTTCAGCAGCAACCTCACACCGAAGGTGTGATTGACAAATCTGTCCAAGGTTCATGATGGGATGCACAAAGAACAGTTTATCTGTGACACTTTGAGAAGAATATTTTATAGGGTATTAATGCATCAGCAGACTTGATTAGTCAATTCTCAGCCCTTCTTGCTATGTAATCGTGCTTTGCACTGCCTTGTGACCATCTGAAATACCTATTACTTATTTGCATAAAATATTTCTAGTATATAATAAGCATGTACTACTAATTGCACACTAACCTCAATATACTTTCATACATTACAACTTTAATTTTTAAAGAAGGAGCTATAGAATTTTCCCTTTTAAGCCCAACATTTTAGCACAAATTTCTTACGCTGTAAATTCTGGCAGAGCTATTACATAGTTCACAGATTTACAGTTTGAGAGCTGGAACTGCTGCTACAGCGATCAGATGTCAGCACTAAATGTGGAAAGCCCACAAACTTAGCTGAGCAGCTTCACAATATCATGGTAAAAAACTGTTACTAACCCAAATTAATCCTTTTTTAGGATAGCAGTAAAAAAAAAAATAATTGACTGAGAATAACTTTGTAAGTAACATGGCTTTACCTGGATAATTTTGCTCCAGGAAAGCTGTTCAGCTGCAGGTAGGCACCAAGTAGCAGCCAGAGCACATTGGCGATTTCTCCTTGTACGTGGGCATTTTGAACGAAACGGGAGGTGACACAGAGGGGACCCACACCCAACATTAGCAAACAAAACAGTCACTTCTGCGCAGAAAAAACCATCCGTGGTGCTGTTCCTATTGATAAGTGCTCACCTAAACTACTCCGCTGGGTAAACTCCCCGCACTCCCCCTGTACACCGAGTTGTTTGTTCCCGCAGTGCCCTCTGCTGACACCACCGATCCCGTGTCCAAAGGGCTTTTTCCCCAAGTCTCAGATATTTGAAACCTGGTTCTCAAAAATCCTTTATCTTAAGTCTTCAACGCAATTAATCTACTGAAGGGTTAAGCCATTCTCCTGCATTCCCTTGTTTGAAAATTTAGTTAAATCAACAACTCATTAAACGATTCTCCTTTTTTTTTTTTTTTTTAGCTTGTAAAGCATCAGTACCTCTGATGAGGTAGATGAAGAAGAAAGGCCATGCAATTTCAGATGTATTCTGAAAAATTCTGAGTACTCAGTATGGAGATATTTCTGTGGGCCCAAGCACAAAGGCATCCGTGGAGACAAAGACTCTTGCCTTTTTGGATCTTTTTTGAAGAGTTGCAGTTCATCATATGGTTTTGCTTACAAGTTTGGGGTTTGTTCTGTAGATATGATCTAACTGTCCTTAGAAAAACAGCCACTGTTGGCTGCATCAACATGTCATCGTAAGCAAGAGGCAGTGACCAACTAGGTTCCGTTGTCTCTTGCTCAATCTTGAGCATTTTAGAAGTTTTGTGATGTCACTAGAGTTGATTTAAAATTAGGACTTACATCCTTCGCTGAACTGGGATCTAGGTTAGTGAGACAACAGTGATGTTGTTCTTTGAATTCCATCAGTCACATACTCCCCCCCTCCAAAATCAAAAAAAAATGACTACTCTCCATCTTCTGACTCTCTAATCCTTTATCTAACTAATCTATTTGTGAATTAAAGCTGAATTCACATTCATTCCATTTTAGAATGTCATCAAAGACTTTTAAACTACTGCTGTGATCATTCCTCTTCACAAGGACTTGCCAGATTTTGCTCTTGATAGAGGTTCCTTTAAGCAGTAGTAAATATGTTTTCCACTTTCGACTATCCTAGCAACTTAAAGGGAATTGGCTATGCTCTGAGTTGGTAACCCAAATATTTAAAAACATGAGTGGTTAAAGTTTAATCCGCTGTCGTGATGATGTGGCAATAGAAGCTCCGTGTCAGGATTCATTCTTCACCTGGACAACACGGTGGCAGTAACGCTCATGCAGTATGCTCTCTTACGGAATACGGGATGTGTAAAGCAGACCTCGTCAACGGTTGAAAGTCGGATTTTCCACCATGAACGGATACCCAAATTGCTCTGCTAACCACACTAAAATTTGGAATCATTATCTAGTGCTTGCACTGGGCATCCCTCAAGTGACCATTAACATAGCATCTGTGGTCTTCAACTGCACAGTCATCTTCACCAGACTGGTGACAAAAGATCTGCACAAGCCTATCTCTATACTCTTCTGCAATTTGGCTCTTTCTGACCTCTTAACCAGCTTTTCTGGCTTTTGGATTTCGATGCTGTTCATCACCAATCCTGACACTACAATCTTTGGATCCAAGGATATGCTCACACCTTATGCCTTGTATACTATGTCTATTTTATCCACCATCTATAACTTGGTGAGCATTGGAATTGAACGCTATCTGGCTGTGGCTGAAAGCATGAGGACGAGGTTCAGGGTTGCTAGAAACCATTGCATCATTGTCGTTTTTATTAACTGGGTCCTTGCTTCCTTTTTGGGCTCCTTGCCATTGATGGGGTGGAACTGCTTGGATATGGAAAAAAACATCTCTGTCCTCTACAGTCCATTTTGTGTCAACTACCTCATCTTCATCGCTGTCCCCAATGCTGTAGTGGCTTTTATTTTACCTCTGTTCGCTTACCTCAGAATCATTATCATCTTGAGGAAAAGAAAGCTGAGAATGAAAGCTCATGGACAAGCTACCGGCACCTACAAATCAGCCGAAATCCAGGTTGCCAGAACCAGTGTTTTTATCTGGCTCCTGGCTTTGATCTCCTACGCTCCCGTTTTCGCAGGAGTCATCCTCGATGCAACTAACCACCAGTGCCACATCGATCTCTACCCGGACATCTACATCTTCCGAAACTGCACGGCCATGCTGATAACCATGAACTGCTTGGGAAACCCCATAATATACACCCTGAAACCCAAAACGCTGGGGGCTAAACTCAAGTCTCTGAAATGCCTTTCCACCAACCGCGTCCGAGCCTGCACCATCGAGAACATCTAACTGGTTCTCCCGCACCGGTCGACGCCGCGGGCGCTTCAGCACCGAGCGGGCGGACAGCTCCGGGGCGCGCAGAGCTGCGCGGGGCGCGCAGCGCGGGGCCGTGCGCGGGCAGCCGCGGAAGCCGCGCAGGAGCTTTGGGGCTTCTCCCAGCAGCTTTTGGGAGCCTTCGGGAGCCAGCGCCGGGCCGCGGCGTTGCGGTGGTTCCCGGTTTTCCCTCGTGAAGTGCCCGCGTTGTCCGGCTTCCGAACGCGGAGCAGAGCCGCGCTGCTCGGAGAGAAAAATAACTCTGTTAGCCGTGTTTGCTTTGCGTTTGGAAACAGGGTTCTGTTGTGCTCGCTTGGCTGCTGGGATTCACATCCGTTTTGTGTTATCCATGTGGGTTCGAAGGCGGTTAAATGGCTAGAAAATTTTCCGTAGTCTGGGGGAAGATGTAATTTTAGTTTCTCGTTTACAGCCAGTCAAATTGTATCTTTGAATATTTGATGAATCTCTTTATTAATGGGAGCCCTCAGCGCTGTCTTACTGTTGTAATTTTAACTGCAGTACGTAGCTGGATTACACGTTTTTGTGAGACATTTGTGATTACACTTTTCATATTGCTGTTTATAAATAGAGACACCCTCGAGTCCATGGCTTTTGAAATTTGCACTGTTCTAGGAGAAAAACTCACTTGAATTCTTCAGTATCGGGATTGCTGTCGAGTTGCCTGTACAAAATAATACAAAATAAAAATATTAAGACTGAGTATTTTATAGAAGGAAAAGGTCTTAACCCTTTCCTCTCTGAAAGGGAAATTTGCTACTGAATAGTTAATCTGTCAGAATCAATTTAGTAGAAATTAACGCTTATTCTTAGTATGAAATAGTATCTAAGTAGTATCTTAAGATACTAAGTAGTATCTTAGTACTAAGGGGATACTGTCTAGAAGAATCTCAGTGCTTAAATTTCTTCCCTCTCCTCTTGAGCCTGTCTAGAAGCCATGATGGAATAGATCCCAGTGATGTTAGCTCGTCTTTCTGGTTTTAAAGTATGCTCAAATATTGCTCAATGACCTTACATCAAAGTGATAATCCACACTGTGAGAATGTTCTCACACTCATGAAACACACACGCACAAGCTCGGTCCAGCCAAGATCAGCCCTTCCAGCACAGGTCGGGGTTTTCAGGGATTTCTTTCCAGTTCGTTTGCTTTGTTGTCATGGCGTTTCAAAAGGCTTCAGTGAACTCAGAACAAAATCCCATTAATCCGTTCCTGAGCAGGTAGGAGGAAAGAGCGTGTTTTGTGTAAGAAATGGGTTCACCCACCAATGTAAGAAATGGGCGAGTGCCATTCCATTAACAAATCCGATAAGTACTGGTTTATGTTTATTGCTATAAAATCTCTCTTTTCTGCTACTTCACACTGAAGAACTCTGGGAGAATTTCTTTTTTCTGCATTAAAATTCAGACATTTAAGGAAACGGACGTCACGAAATGATTCACAATTAAAATCATAGAATCATGGAATGGTTTGGGTTGGAAGGGACCTCAAAGATCATCGAGTTCCAACCCCCCTGCCATGGGATGAATTATTTGAATGGATAACGCAACTCAGGTAAGATAAATCTGACCCCATTTTTTCCGCCTGAACACAGCTGTTCTGTGTTTTCTGTTGACTCCACCACCACCAGCCTCAGGAGGTGTTCGGCTGGAAACGGAACATCTGTCTCCTTCAACTTCGACTTAATAACAGGAGATTCACTCAAAACTTATCGCAGGGCAGATGGTAAAGATCGACCTGGGGGCGGTTTTATTGTATGATATGCTATTTATTGCACGATAGCATTTCTGCTCATCTCCATGTTGACATCGGCGAGGCGACGCCTAACGACCGGAATCTCCGACGCAGCGCTGTCTGTCGCAGCGATCGTCATTTCCAAAGCGGGGCGGCAGCTGGAATCCAGCCAGAACCCGCTCAGGACGAGATATATGTACGTATATCAAAAAATAGAGATAATAACCCCTGGCCTTGGGACGGGCTCGGCCCCG